GGACTGGGAGCAGGGGAGACCCTCGGGAGTGGGGAGCTGTGGGGAGCAGGAGGCCCTCAGGAGTGGGGGGGGACTGGGAGTAGGGGAAACCTTCAGGAGTGGGGGCCTGTGGGGGGGCACCAGGAGCAGGGGAGACCCTCAGGAGTGGGTGGCCGAGGGGAGCAGGAGGGCCCCAGGAGTGTGGGACTGCGGGGGACACCAGGAGCAGGGGAGCCCCAGGAGTGGGATTTTGCATGGGGCAGCCCTTGGAGCAGGGTGAAGGGTCCGTAAGGGGTTGTGGTCTAGTGTCTCCCTGCACCATCTGGGGCAGGTGGGTGCCAGGAGAGAGGAGAAGCTTATGGGGTCAAGGCTTGAGTAATCTGGGGTCTCCAAAATAAAGGGAGGGGGGAACAGTGAGGGTAGGCACCCGGCTTCCCCCGCTCCTGCAGGTGTGTGGCATGATGAGTTCCCCTGGCAGGGCCAGCAGCGCGTTTCCCCTGCATGTCCTGGTCTGGAATAATGACTACAGGCGGCTGGACGAGGAGCTGCAGGACAAGGTAACCGGGGGGAGAGAGGGGCTGTTGTGGGGCCCCAAAAGAGTTTGTGCCATGGCATAGGGCTTGGTGCCCCTCGCTTCCTGCCTTTCTGGGGAGAAGTAACCTCAGCGGTGCTGCCAGGTCTGTTTGCTGGGCGTGTGGGGTTGCTGTGCTTCTTTCTCTTTACCTGTTTATTTGTGGCTGCGGGAGTGATGTAAGAGGGCGTAGGAATATACTTTTTGTTATTGCAAGATATTAAATATTGACTTCTTATCTGCAAAGCTCTGCTCAGCATTCGGGTGCGGGCTGCAGAATTGCTCTATGGAAAGTGTTAGGAGTCATTCAAACAGAGCAGATGTGATGGAACGTCAATTTTTTTTTTTTCTGTGCCAGAAAAGCAATAAATGCTGCTTAGTTTGATGGGAAGTTGACATGCAGCAAAGGTGGCTGCTGCTGCCCAAGATTAAACAAGCCTCCAGCTTGCTGAGGAGCAGCAGTTCTTACGGCTTCGTGGCTGTCCAAGACTGTGGGGGCAGCATTTTTAAGGCTGGAAAGTTTTCAGTTTCTTTTGGGATGAAAAAAAAAAAAAAAAGGGTCATTGTTTCATGCTGTAGAGTAGAAAAATACAGAGCTGTTCCCTCTCTGGGACGGCCAAGTGAGACATGGTGATGACGTAAGGCAGCGCTCTGAAAAGCTGCAGCAGGGTTCGAGCAGCGAACGCCGCCGTGCTGAGCTGCTCTGGGAAAGCTCTGACAGTCGCTGGTGCGGAGGGGAGTTTGCACACCCGGCACGTCTTAATTCCATTGTACCTGCCACCGCGAGTCCATGAGCCAAAGATGAGCTGTGACTGACGAGGGGCTGTCCCCTGCAGGTCTAACGGTGCACCACGACTTACTAACACTTGCTCAGAGCATGCTGCGTCCTGTTTTTAGGAGAATCTTTGGAATGCAGTTACTTTTTACCTAACTCATGTGATCTTATTCCTTAACAAAATCTTTAACCTTACCGGCGCGTTGCTCCTGTGTATTTATTTCTGTCAATGGAACTAAGTTCTCCCCTGTGGAAGGTTGTCCTTAAATAAAGATCGTTCTGCTGCCGGGCAGTCGGAGCCGGCAGCTCACGCCGTGAAGTGCTGCTTCCGACCTCAAACGCCTTGTGCTCTGAGGAAACGAGCAACGTGCTAAGATGGAATATGTCTGTCTCCTACTTCCTTTATCTGCTTTTAAACACCTTTGTTTTTTAAAGTATTCCAAAGATACGTTTCCTTCTGCTTCCTTGGGATAAGCTTCTTGCTGTCAGAGGGGCGCGCGAGGGAAGCGGAGGCACTTGCCAGCTGCACTCGCTGTGGCCAAGGGCGGGTGGGAGGTGTCGTTACCAGTTGACAGCAGCAAAGGCGACTGGGAGGGACACCTCAGAGTCCTCCACCTGCCGGTGCAGTAGGCACTGGAGCTGTAGGAAGTGGGGAAGCAAATTAATCAGTATTCCACCGCAGAAGTGAGAGGAGAACGCTTTAAAATGGAGCTTTCCCCACTCTGTGTGTGATCTTTCCAACTTAATGCTCTCAGAGAACCGTGTTAATTTGCACAATAACTTTCCTTTCTCATTCTGCTATTGACTTTCCCCTTTTCCTTTAGTTATAGATGCTCTTCTGTTTCAAATCTCTAAGCTAATAGTGAAAAATAAGTAAGGTATGAGTATGTTGTGCTTGCATGTTTTGGGTATTTATGCCTGTGTAGTTTTTTCTTTTTTTTTTTTTTTTCTTTTCTAGTGACTTGTACAAAATGCACTCACTCTTCATTGTGCTGTGTGTGTCAGTGAAATGGATGCTTTGTAAAATACCATTTGCTTCTATGCTCTCAAAAAGTGCTATACAAAATCGGTGTTGTATGCCCTGTTCCCTTTTTTTTTCCCTTTCCCCCCCGTTCTGTTGTATAATGTTAAACCCTCTATTGCTCTCTCAGGCTGTTGAGTGTCCGTGGTGCGATGCACACAGACTAGAACTCCTCTCCCCTCCTGAGAGACGCCCCTTTAGAAGGGGAAATAGTTACAGAGAAAGAAATGAGAAGCATCAGCCAGAACTCAGTCATGTCTCCCAGCAATACCAGTGCTGAAGGTGCCGGTTCTGTAGGCCCCGTTCTGCTTCTCTTCTCATTTCAGCGGGGAGCGGGACCGCCCCGTATGGGGTGCAGCAGCGGCCGAAAGCTGTGCACCCCAGCCTGACCCGTGGGCACACCCGGGGGACGCCGGCTCCTGGGTTACTGCGGACGAGCGTGGTTGATATAAGCTCTTCTCGGGGTGCTCGGAGGCCTGCGCCGGGCAGGACGGCTTCAGCAGGGTTTCTCTCTCGGCTGCTCAACAGGATGTCGATCAACGTGATCCTCGAGGCCGGACCTTGTTGCACCTTGCTGTTTCCTTGGGTTATATAGAGTCTGCCAAAGTCCTCCTTCAGCACAAAGCGGACGTGACCAAAGAGAACGCGCAGGGATGGACAGGTAAAGAGAACCTGGAAAGCAAAAGTCACGTGTTAACACTTTTCAGTGGCAGATGATGTATTTTGACTGCTTTTACATTACGTATCTTGCTCGGAAAGCAAACTGAAACCAGCTCTGTCTGGGTTTCTTTCAGTTTTACACGAGGCTGTCAGTACAGGAGATCCAGAGATGGTACAAATGATTCTGCAGCATCGGGACTACCAGCAGACCTCTATGACACTTGGAGGAGTTCCTGAATTACTCCAGAAGATTAACGAGGTAATGGTTTCGTTTGAACCTCTTCCTCCAGGCTGCAGTTCTCGCTCAGGTAGTTCGGTGAAGTAAACTGAAATCGGGTGGGCCGTTGCGTTCCTCATTTCACCTTGCGCATTCCGCAGCGCTGGGGGAGATGGAGGCTTTTCCCTTGGCTTTGCTCTGAAATCTGTAGTCACAAACTCCAACATTGGAGGCTCTCTTGAAGGTGTTGCTGCTGCTATAGTAAAGTAAAGAAGAATGGCTCATCAGCAAGCAGCAGTAGTAGGCCAGTGCCTTTTATCTTTGTTAGTTAATCAATTTAATTTTTTAACATTCATTTATTGTGTCTCGAGTTCTGTTCTCTTTCTGTTTTCCTTTACCTAAAATGTTCACAAGAAGGGCTGTGCTGAATATAGATTAAACCTGTTTCACGAAGTACTCATCAAGTATTTTACTTCTTCAGACTCCTGACTTTTATGTGGAAATGAAATGGGAGTTCACCAGCTGGGGTAAGAATCCTGCTCATCGTTACCTCTTCTAACCTGTAAGCAGAGGGACTTGGTTGTGGATAAACGTCACAAAAGATAACGCAGAGAAATACCTGCTCCCCAGGACGCTTCTCTCTCCACCTCTCGAAATAACCTCTTATGTTTTTGTTGCACAATTATTCTTTGTTTCCTGTGTATTTGGTTGGTTTGTGGTTGTTTGTTTGTTTTACTGGAGAGTTTAGCCATCGGTAGAATGGCTGAAGACTTTCCTTGGGGTTTTGTTTTCCTGTCTCTGGCTATCCATGACCAAGGCAGTGATAATATCTCATACATAGATGCACAGACGACTTGGGAAGTACCTGCTTTTCTTTTGAAGCAGTGAATGCTAGGCCTTACAGTTGGCTTAACTTTCCCAACAGACAGCAATCAGACTGCTAGGAGACGGGGTTTAAGCCATTTTAGTCTGAACTAATGTCTTCTTCCTTTCCTGTTCATCTTTAACTTAAAGTTGGTGGGTTTTGCCCCCGAGCTGTTTGTCCTTAAAGCTGAGGAAGGTCAGGGTCTCGCCTCCTCTGGAATAACGATCGTAGCACTGAGCCATCCTGTGTCAGGGATACGGCGTCTGCTTGGGTTCAGACTTCCTGTGCGCTCGGGCTCTTGACTATTTTTCTATTTACATTTTTCTCATTTTTCGTTTACAGTCCCACTGGTTTCCAGAGTTTGTCCAAGTGACGTCTGCCGCATCTGGAAGAGCGGTGCCAAGCTGCGCGTGGATATCACTTTACTGGGCTTTGAAAACATGAGCTGGGAGAGAGGAAGGCGTAGCTTAATTTTCAAGGGAGAAGGTAAATATTTTAGCCTGTCGGCACCATTGATCACCGCAGACGATGTGGGCCACAGTGAGAAATCCCCATTTTGCACAAAAAGACCTGTTGAGGCCGAGTACTGAATTCTACAAAAGCGTTACACGTGTATTCCGTGAGCGTCTCGTAGAGATACTGTTTTGTGGTTTAACCTAACGGCTTCATTTCTTTCCTCTGGTAAATCTGAGGTCACAATTTGGTGACAGGGCTAAAATTCTACTTCAGTCTTTTGCCTCTTCTGTTCTCCTGCCCCCAAATAAGAAATAATTTTAGCTACAGCTCCAGATTTGATCTCAGCTGAGTCCAAAATGCAGTGAATTAGCATCCGCCCTGATGTGATGCACAGTGTGTTCTCAGGTTTTCATTCTGTGGCGCTGTTGCTGAGCGGTTTAGATTGAGATGTACATTTCCCACAGATACTGGAGGTTGGGCTGAACTGATCGAGATCAACCACGATGATAAGTTTGTTACAACGGAGCGTTTTGAGATTTCCCAGCACATGAAGCGTTTGACATTGGGATCCATGACTCCGAAAAGAAAAGATGTGGAAAGACGCCTTACGTCTCCAATTATTAACACGTGCCTTGATACCAAAAATATTGCTTTTGAGAGGTAAGAGCCAAAGTTTCTCTTGACAAATCAACACTTCAAGATTGTGGATGGTTGTACTTCCAGTAAAGCTTTAAAGACAAACTCATAAAAGCCCTGGTAATAAAAACTTGAAGGGCTAGATCTGAAACGACTTCAAACTTCACTTCATTAGGTGAAGAAATTGGGCTTGGTCAGCTTGCCATTATTGCTGCAGAAATGTCCAGTTGAAAGAACTGACTTGCAGAAAACTTCCAGTTTATCGTAGTAGTGAGTGAGATCGTTAATGTCTCGTTACAGTTTGTGTTTCACCCAAATCTGTATGTCTAGTGCTGACACGAGTGGGCAGGAACTTGCATCGTGTAGCTGTGACAGTCCAATCTCCCATTAACCCTTTAAAATACACGTATAGTGTGTCTTTCCACAGCGACACACGTGCCTGCCTTGGTTACCACACGTGTTTATCCAGGTACCTGTCAGCTTGGTGCAAACAGTCCTTATGTCGCCGCTTTTGGAGCGCCCTGTGATGCAGTAAACTGCCCCCACGATCATATGAAACAAGCGTTTTCGAAGTGAGAGGTGTAATTTCAGCAGCTTTCTCATGAATATTTAGTAGCCATTCAAAGCTGCCCAGAGTTAGTCCCTGTGATGTTCATTGAGCCTTTGTAGCTGCAGCGTCTGCACGTCCAGACACTAAGGTTTCTTAGACAGAAGTGTTCCTGCTACCCAGTTCCCCCAATTGCAGTGACAGGTAACTTTTGGAACTAAACTGTGTGCTAAAAGCTGCCCTGCCCAGGCTGTTGGACAGAATAATTTGGTTTTCAGGCTGTCCTCCTCTGTGGCTCAGGTATCCACCTCAGTCTAAAATCTCTGTCTGAGCCTTCGGGCTCTGGCCACGGACTGAATCAGAACAGAGCCAGCGTGACTTCCGCAGCCCTCCCGCGATACGTGCGTGTGAGGACAGCCTGGCCGGTGCTTTTGGCTGGGGTTAATGACCGAATCACCCATCAAATGTTGTTTAAGATCCATTTTAGAAAAAGGGGCTGGGGATTGGGTGGAAATGCAACTGCGTAAACGCTTGTGGTGTTTGCTTTTTGTCAGGACCACGTCTGGATTCTGGGTATGGAGGACAGAAAAAGCAGAAGCTGTAAATGGTTATGAAGCGAAGGTAACGCCTGTTCTGGTCTATTTGGAGGCCTTGCAGCTAACCCAAGTGTGATTGTGTTTTGCCTTTATTTCCTCAGTATTTCAGGTCTTAAACTTCCCATTGAGAGCTTTATTGCGTGGCCAGCAGAACTGGGCAGAACTTTGAGGCTGCCAGGCTTGTGGGAGGGATGGTGCCGGGGTGCAGGAATGTCAGCAGGGACTTCGGGGGAGAGGGAGGATCAAAGCATTGCGGGAGAAGAGGGGCGAAAGATCCAGCGTAACTGCTAGAACTCCCTTCCATCCAAAAATTGGAATTTAACTCTTTCTTGAGCATTGTCATTCTTCCACTCTTTAGGAGACGAGGAAGCCACGGGTGAGGTGCCTCGCTCGCTCTCTAGTACAGCATTGCAGGGAAATAACAGCCTCCTGCTGCCAGGGGTTGCGTCATGAATTCAAGTAATTAAGGCTGCTGGTAAATTAAAGACCCTGCCCGTGCTCGTGAGCCGTACAGTTGCTTAGATTTGTTCCATGTGACGCTTTTTTTGTCTTCCATTTCCTTCAGTTAAATATTTCTGAAGGTGGCTTTGCAGCCTTTCTGTGCCAGGCATTTAAGAATCCCAAGTATTAACTTCCACGATTTCTAAGCCTGAGTTTACTCCAGGTTTTGGAATTGGTGCAATACATTACATTTTGTAGCTTAATTTAATGGCAGAACAAAAGCTTTCTACGTTTATATGAATCTGAGTCACAGAATGTTAGGGGTTGGAAGGGACCTGGAAAGATCATCTAGTCTAATGAAGTCCTGTGAAGGCTTTTCCTGGTAAGACTGCAGGACTGTTCGGTTGGAAATGTGGTTCATTGGTGTTCCTGGAGAATTAAACTATCACTAGATTTCATTTGCAAGGCCTCACGAGTGACTCTCTTTAGAAGTAGCATTATCTGACTTGCCTTCCCCAGTCTCTCCTAAAATCTCTGCCCTCTTCTTGTCAGCAAGCTGGGAAACGCCTGCCTAGTTCTGAGGTTAGTTGGTTACAAAAGCGTGTCTGAGAGTGTGTGAATGGGCTTTCCAGGGGCTCGGTGGAAGGGCTGACTTCTGTGGCCGCCGCGGGCGGTGACCACGCTCCTTTGCCGTTCTGTCGGCGCAGGACGGTAGGGAGATCCCCGCGGGCTGGAGAGCCCATGAGGTGCCATTCGCAGGGATTCTCACCCTATCGACTTGCCCAGCAGGTGGCGTGCCGCTTCAGCTTTGTCACCAGTCTGACCAGTATACATTACGCAGGGTTTCCATTCGGCCAAAGCAAATAGAACAAGTGCAGCGTTTCCTGTTGATCCCCAGTGTGTTAAAGATGAAGATGTTTGTCAGCGAGAGGCGGATCTGTGCTGCTTTATTCTGTCTTTAGATTCGTGTACGAGGTGTTTTACTAGAGAGCGCTCTCTTTTTTTTAACCTGCGATGCTTTTGGGGTTCTTGTCCTTGTATTTATTTAATTTTTTAAGGTGTACATCGCAAACAATGTGAATGTGGTGACAAAAATCCGGACGGAACATTTAACAGAAGAGGAGAAGAAAAGATACAAAGGTACTTTTCCTGTAGGGTGACTGGAAATAAGTAGGACCTTTGGGCTCTCTGATACCTTCACTGCGTGACTGCAGAGGAACTGGGCAGCTAGACAAGGGAAATCCTCTTCTTGGTGACTTTGCCCTGCTTTACTTCCACGTGTTGAGTGTCTGAGGTAGCTCGTGACTTGCCTCCTGACCTGCAGAAGGACCACTGTTTGTCCTAGCTGTATTAGAGGAAGAAGAGCCCTTCGAATCTGTTGAAAGTTTATGGGAAGTTTTGAAAGGCTGCACTTTTCTTGCTCTGGAATGTACTCTTGCCTTTATTTCGCTTTGGCCATGATTACACGATTCACGTAGGCTTTGCTGGCTTGGACTTTTGGTTCTGTTGTGGTCCACTAATTCCTTCCAGAATTTAAATAAAGGGTCAGCAGGCAGTGGGAAACGCTGCCTTTTGTTGGCCTACCTTGGGGCCCAGGAGGAGAGGCTCTGTGAATAATAAAGCTATCTGCCAGTGACAGAAACCGCTGAAAATCTTTGCCTCTGTTCTGTGTATTCACCCGTTTCATAGCGTCAGCGTTAGGCCCTGGGCTTGCCCGGGAAAGCTTACAGGAGGTGTGAGCGGCTTCTCTTTGGGTCAGCAGCCTGGCTTGTTAGCCTGCTGTGTGTGTGAGTGTCGCTGCTAACTAATAGTAACGGGTGGTTTTGTGTTTCCCTCCTCTTGCCTGAAGCTGACAGGAACCCCCTGGAATCATTTCTGGGCACGGTGGAGCACGAGTACGGTGCTCAGGTGAGTGTCTTTGAGCTGAAACACGTCGCTGCAGCGCAGAGCTCTGTGCCGACAGGAATTCTAGGTGTGTGGAGTCGCCTCCTGTTCCCTTTGTTTGGCAGCAGTTTTGATGAGGTTTAAATTTTCCCTGAGTGTGTTTTTGTTTGTTTTAAGCCCTCGATTGCTCTGTATGGACAGCAGGTACCTCCTTCTGAACACACTCATAAAAAAGCCGTAGAATCTGTTAGCACAGCAGGAGCTGGGGCGTGAACAGCGGCAGCAAACCCGAGCAAGCCCACATCTTGGTGGCAACCCCCCAGCAACCTGGGAAGACATGTCCCCAGGCCAGCAGGAGCCTCGGGTGGGAGATGGCGCTGGCGTGGTGCTCGCTGGACAAGGCTATGGAAGGACGAAGCGCCGTGTTAGCCCGCTGCTCTCCAGCAGCTCGGAGGAGAGCCGTCTCTGCTCTTCTGAAATGCGCTGATCGTGATTGCGACGTGGCTTTAGGGACTCCCTTGCATCTGCACGTGCTTGAGTACAGTAGCCAATAGGTTTGCCAACGGCCGGCTCTGTGTCAGGGTGGCGTTGCAGATGTCACGGGGATCTAGAGATTTTTGGTTCAAATACCCCGTCAGAGTTTTGCCTTTAACGAAGGATTTGGAGCCAAGAAATGCTGTAGCTTGCGTGTGCGTTTCTGCTTGGTTTCCAGCTTTAAAGTCGATTTTTTTTTTTTTCCTGTCTCTCAGTTCCTTGGAGATGTTTAACCCCGGTAGAAAGCAGTCTAAATGTGGGTGCCTGTACGTATGGCTACGTGTCACTGGTGTCTAAAACGGAGAATCAGTTATTTCACAAGAGGTGCCTTAGAAGTTTCTTGTAGTAGTCGCTGTCTGTTTGTTCCGTACTTTGGTGAGGTTTTTTCTCTCCTTTTCCTTCTAGAGTACAACCAAGACAACAGAGTATGCTGCAAGTAACAATCCTACTGCTATTACTCTGGAGGAATACTTTGACCCAGAATTTGATTTGAAAGGCAGAGACATAGGAAGACCGAAAGAAGTCACCATTCGAACGCAGAAGTGAGAAATAAAACTTTAACTATTTCTGGTTTGTCTCTTCCCAGTCATCTAGTCTCTGGAAAACATCTTTACAAATACCCAGCGTGGTTTTCCCCCAGCTTTCAAAATGAATCAAAAGAGACATCTCGAAGTTTTCAGCTGTAGCCTTGTTCTTCTTCCACTAAGTCCAAGAAAACATTTGGGCTGGTGCTGTAACGTGCCGGTGACCTCCTGTGCGTTGCCTTCGGTCCGACCAGGAAGGTGGCTCAGTGTCTCAGAGCAGGGACTGTTCTGGCTCTTTGAACTGTAGGAAGCAGGAGGCAGTGCTGTGCATTTTGTGTCTGTTCCTAAACTGTGAACTTAGGATGTTTTTATGCCATTTTCTCTTTAAGATTTAAAGCAACCTTGTGGATGAGTGAAGAGTTTCCCTTGTCTCTTATGGAACAAGTCACTCCCATCATCGATCTGATGGCCAGAACTAGTGCTCATTTTGCCAGGCTTAGGGATTTCATCACTCTGGAATTTCCACCAGGATTTCCTGTCAAAATTGGTAATATTTAGCAGTTTTTATTGCAGCATCTTCTTCACTTCTGCACTTTCTATTGGTTTTGCAGCATGTGTTTACAAAAATCACATTAGTTTTTCACTAATCATCTCGCTGATACCTAGAACTGAGAACCCAGACGTACATTGTCTTGCACCTCTGGGGTCATCGAATCCAAATTCTGAATGAGCAGTGCAGAATTTTCAAGCCAATATTGTTTCAGGAAGGATGAGCTGTTGCTAGCCCTTTCCTCTTAGCTTCAATGCCTTAAATCTGGCAAATCTTGTTATAAAATAAGAGATTTGGAGAGCGAGTGGGAATGCCTAAGGGCAGCTTCTTGGTGAAGTGAGTCACTATATACTTCGCCGTTACGGCGTGCTGCTTGTGGAATACGTTTGATAAACGCGTAAGGGTTTGCTGTGGCTGCAGGGGTGGAAGTGAGCGAGAAAGTTCTCTTTTTGACAGAAGCCTTGCACGCTTTCCTACAGAAATTCCCCTATTCCACGTGCTGAACGCCCGAATCACATTTGAAAATGTCAATGGCTGCAGGACGGCGGACAAAGCTTCACCACAGATGGTCGGCGCTGCACCGTGTGATTCGGGTAAGGAGCGGGGGGACGCAGCGACCGCGTCTCCTCCCGATCCTGTCGGTGGAAGGCGCAGAATGGAGAGGTGGGTTAACTGCGGGGAGCGAGGCTCAGGGGAGAGGACGCTGCGATGCCTCGCAGCGGATCCGGAGTGCGTGACCCTGGTCACGCCGCCCCGTTCTGCCTCAGCTGAGCTCTAGCCAGCTTTCCCCAGCGCCTCGAGGTCTGAATCCTGGTGCGAGCCGTTGCTGCGGGAAGTGGAATCCAGGAGAGCTGTGACAGCCGAGCCCACGGGCGCTTCCAGAAGAGAGCGGATTGTGTTCGCGTCGGATGCTCGTCACTGCCCGTCTCCAGGGGCGCCCTGTCCCGTGGGCTGTGGCAGCCCCATTCGTTAGGGGCAACCTCAGAAGAGCCCCTGTGGTGTTTATCTTTTGATGCCTTTGGGGTTTTGTTTTTTCCCCGTCTGGTTTTGTCAGAGTTCAGCCACCTCCGCGCTGTGCCGCGCTCTGGTTTTATCTGTGTCGCCTGCCGGCATCCGAAAGGACAGCCGCCTTCTGGCTGACTGCTGCGCTCGTTTGCCCCACAAGCCTGTGGGTATATTTAGGCAGGTGGTTTATCTGAATTTTTGGCGTTAACTTAATCATGCATAAACATTCATCCCATTTCTTGAAGTCACAACTTGTAAAAACACCCCGTGCCGTGTTTGTAACTCTATTTGGCTTCTCTAGGTGCTAATTTCGAGGTTGACCAGTCAGTGTTTGAGATCCCCAAATCTTACCACGTCCAAGATGACGGTAGGAACATCCACGTGCAGGACGAAGACAACGAGATCATGCAGTTTGCTATTCAGCAGAGTTTGCTGGAATCCGGTGGAAATAAAGTAAGTGTGCCGTGCCCCGGGCAGTTCGACAGGGACTGCGCAGCGATAGCCACGTCTCTGAGTCAAACCGATGTAGGACCTGTTTTTCTAAGAACTTCGGAAGATAAAATTATAGTAATGCATTTCAAAGAAGAAATAAGAGAGATTTAAGTTACCTTTTGGCGAGTTGTGCTGCAGATCTGTTAACTGCTGTGGAATTGTCTGTCTCTTTCTAGGAAGCAGGGGTGCACTCCAATGGGGCAGTGGCATATTCACAGGACTTCAATATACAGTACCAGAGGTAACCGAACTTCTTTCACATCAAACCGCAGCGAGGGAGCAAAAATACTTCCGAGTGGGAAGCAATTTTGCAAATTTTGTGTGTCTAGGTAGCAGATGCACAGAACCCAAGGTCTCCTTCTCTTGTGCTGCTTCTAACTTTCGTGTTTCCGAGAAGCAAGGACTCAGAACTGGCCTCCCTGGCTCCCAGAGCCGAGCTCTTAGCTCAGCTGAGGGCCTGCTCTGTGCCCAGAGTAGTCTTTACCCAGCAAATAAACACAGTCCTGCTGTTCTGCTCTTAAAACCATGAATCGGGCCCCTCTGGGTTGAAGGTTGGTTGGTTAGATGCTGCTCGCTTCAGGGTAGCTCTTCTTTCTTTCCAAAATCATGATGTGATCCTTAAAAACTGAGCAATGTCTATTGAATAGACCCTTGAGAGCATGCTCTGGTATCTGGAGGGTCTTCCCGCAGTTAGATGTGAAGAAATCTCTGGGCCCACAAAGACTCACGTCCTCTTGGTTGGTTGTACTTGGAAAACCGTGTTACCTTCAGATGAGGGGAGAGTGCTTTTGGAAGCCCATTGGAAATGTAACTGTTCGTAGGATTCTGAGAAACCTTCAAAGAACAGGTTTTACACTGGGAATTTTACAGATGTTGGAACAGCTGCTCTCATATCCTGAAAACTCCTTTCTGCCCTCTGGGGCGAGGTTTGTCAGGATTTGCAGTCAGAAAACAGTGTCTAGGGAGGATCGTTGCAGGAAACGTGAAGGAGGCTCTGTCTCTCTTACTTCTTGAAGTTCTCTTTCTCCTTCAGGGCACTGCAGGAGAGCTATCTAACAAGCTCGGGTAACTCACGCTGCAGCACCCCTAGTGAACCTTCCAGTTTTGAGAAAGACCTGCAGCTTGCCATGGAGCTGTCTGTCCGAGAGCAGGAGGAACGGGAGAAGCAACGTCGGGAAGAGGAAGATGCAGAGCTTCAGCAGGTTTTACAGCTTTCTCTTGTGGAAAAATAACTCCGTGGCCACCTCCTGAAATCAGGATGACCAAATCTGCATCGAACTGAGGGCTGCCGGAGCTGTCGCTCTGAAGACCCCTCCTGGATTGCTTAAGTAAACATTTCACCTGCCTTCTGAGTTGGCATCGTCAGCTACAAAAAGCTGATTTGTTTTTGTTTGAGGGAGCTTCGGATCACGGGACGCTGCGTTTGGCTCCCCAACCGCGCGGTCTTGGCTTTGAAGGAAGAGTTTGTGTCGGAACGTGTCGGTGGAAGAGCAGATGGGAGTTTTGCTTAGCGTCAGGGTCTGGGATTGCAGCAAAGCTTGGAAACCTGATTTGTGGGGAGTGCAGGAGGGAAGCTTCATTACTTACCAAAGAAATACTCATCTGCTTAGTCACTTCAGAGTA